CACTGAATATAAACCTTAATTAAATACTAAAGTCGATAAAATATTTTTTAATCTTAAAACCAAAACTTTACGGTATTTTTATAGAAATCCCTCCAACTATCCAATCTCTACGGCTTCGAGCTGTACTTCAAGAAGGAGTACCTGCAGGTGACGGGCAGTTTTAAGGAACGGGGAGCCAGGTGAGGATTCCTCTTTTACATGAACGTGCAAAATGGTGTTCTAGATACGCCTTGTCGCACCTGACGTCCGCGGAACGAAAAATCGGGGTGATCGCGGCGAGTGCAGGTAATTGTTTGCGTACATAGTCCATCTGTGCATAGTACTCACGCGTTGGCATGACTTGACTACGTTGCACTCCTCTGAACGCCGCGGCCTTGTGCCGCAAGAGAAATTGTAATTTTCAAGCGCATCTAGTCACTTTGTGCATAGGAGGCCCGCTTAGGCTAATCCTGACTACACAACTGTCCTCTGAACGTCCCGGTCCTGTGCACGACCTCTAACTGCCAACTATTCGATCCCGACGAGGACAAAATACAAAACATTTTTAGGAAACCACGCGTTAGCCCTCTGCTACCACGGAAAGTTGCTGAACATCCCGGTGACGGTGGTCATGCCTGTCTTTGCCCCAATTATGAAGATCTCCTTGTGCCGTAGCTACGGTGTCACCGTCATCCTCAAGGGCAACAATATTGCCAAGGTATCCAAGCCCTTCATCTCTTGAGCTCGAGTTTAGGCGAAAGACTACGCGATGCGATTTGGGAAGGAAAAAGGGTTGAAGTACATCAACGGGTACGATGCTCCGGACATTTTGGCCGGGCAGGGGACAATCGGACTGGAGATCTTGGAGCAGGTCGGGTGCACCTCTGGAAAAATCCAGCTTTTTAGATTAGAAAATTGGACCATTCTAAAGCTTTAGGTCCCTGATGTCGATGCTGTACTTGTTCCAGTCGGGGGTGGTGGACTGATCGCAGGCGTTGCGGTCGCCATTAAGACTTTGAAACCGGAATGTCACATCATTGTAAGTGGTAGGCGAGAGAGAAGGAGCGGGAGAGAGAGAGAAAAAGAGAGAGAGAGAGAGACAAAAAGAAAGAGAGAGAGACAGAGAGAGAGAGAGAGTAGAAATTTTCTTACAGGGAATCGAGACCGAAACCTGCGCCAGCTTCACAGCCGCCATCAAGGAGGGCAGACCTATAGCCGTGGAGACGAGCAGCACCCTGGCTGATGGTACCTCAAATCGTATATTTATGACCTCTTCCTAGGCCTCGCCGTCCCTACCGTAGGTGGCAATTCGCTAAAGACCGCCGCCCCGATGATCGACCAGGTAAGCAGGGCCGAACTGGTTGAAATCTCCGTTTAGATCATCACCGTCAGCGAGGAGGTGATCGCCCTTTCAATCCTGCGCCTCATTGAGGTGGAAAGGTAGAGAAAGTGTGCGCTTTTTGCTTATCGAGTTTATCTACTTCCAGGCTGTTGTCGAGGGAGCTGGAGCCGTGGGTTGGGCGGCGATAATCTCGAATAAGGTGCCGCACTTGAAGGACAAAAAGTAGGTGTCATTTTAGAGAGTCAACAGCTTGTTTTTAGGGTCGTGTGCATCCTGACTGGAGGTAATATCGATACCACGGTGTTGGGGACGCTCGATTGAACGAGGGCTGGCAGTAGATGGGCGCTTGGTTCTGGAATTGAAGTTGTGGTATCGGACAGGCCAGGAGGTAGTTTAAAAGACACACGACCGCTCGCTCTCTCTCTTTCTCTCTCTCTCTCTCGCTCTCGCTCTCTCTCTATCCTACACCTCTAGGTATCGCCGAATTAACCACCCACATCGCCCACAGCGGCGTCGATCAGGACATCTCCACGAACGAGCCTGGATCTTCCACGGACGTCTTTTCGGTTTAAATTCAAATACTTTTGTATACTTTTTATTTCCAGGTCAAAGTAAAGATTATTGCCGAGACGAGAGACCGGACGCACGTCCAAGAGCTGGAGGCGCTACTCAAGGAGAAGTACAAGAACGTCACCATCCTGTAGATGGTTTTCTCTCTGTCTCTCTCACTCCCTCTCCCTCTCTCTCGCCGTGACCGAATGGATACAATAGTTTTGAATTGCTCAAATTGTAATAAATATTTTAACGTGTAGTTTTCTGACCGAAAAGTCGAAATTCTCATTCAATGAGAGGTATTTTCTGTGTTTTGTAGAATATTCGGCGCCATTTGCCAAATTTTCCTGTCACCATTTTAAAGATTAAACAATAAAAACCCATGCCGTGTGTGTTGAAAACCCGATTAAAGAAGTCAAAACCAAATCTGTAAGCGGAACTCCGAAAAACCCACTCTGAAAACCGAAAAACCAAAAATAAATGAAAATCAAAGCTGTAGCAATCCCGAAACTTTATCCGAAGGAAAAGAGTGTGAAAAGAAGGCGAGAAAAAGCTGAAAAAAGCAACTGAAACTGGTAATAGACGGCCGGATAGAGACGGCGTGAACTGGACCTCGGACTCCCTCACCTCGGCTTCCCTTGAGCCCAAGCCTAAGCCTAAGCCTAAGCCTGTGACCAAGCCCAAGCCCAAACCTAAGCCTCAGCCCAAGCCTCAGCGAGGTGAGTCGTAAGGTGAACTTTTGGTGCCGGGAAAAACAAAATAAAAATCGTGTTTCGTGAAAAAAAACTGAAGTTTAAGGGGCATTTCTTGGAAGCGCAAAAAAAACCAAAAAAAAACAGTTTGGGCACAAGCACACGATGTGAAAAGAGGAAATTAGGAAAAATGGTCATTGAAAAAGGCGCGTGCATTCTTGCGGCCGGGAAATTAGCATATTTTTTGCTCAGTTTTTATAGTTTTTGCCCTTTTTAATGGGCGAGGAGAAGACGTAGAAATTATTGTACACGGGGAGAGACGGCTGGGGGGATATCACAATCGTGTGCATTCGGGGTACGGTAGAATACCGGGTGTAAATAGGAGTTTTCCGGAGGGTTTCGGCTGTTCATGGGTCCCCATAATTTCCAATTTACACCCGGATTACGATCGGAAAAACGGGAAAACGGTAAAACTCGGAAAATCGATCATAGCCTAGCTACACCAAAATACTGGTTCCATCATTGTGACAAGGCGCATTAATAGGTGGGATATTTCCGAGGTGGGGATACGGTAGACATTGTTTTTTTGGGGGATACGGTGGACTAGAGTACTCGAAAGGAACACGGGCAGGTTGGTGGAGTGGAATAAGATTAGAATTTCCATTAAGAATTTAACAAAAATTAAAGAATTTCCATTATCGTGGAATAGGGGGCTTTAAAGGGAAATTGAGGGCAATTATTGGGGCTTTTTAAGGTTTGTGATGAATTTCCCATCAGTTTCACTTAAATGGTGTTTTAGAAGGATTTTGAATTTTTGGCGTTGAATTTCCCGACTTTTGACTCAATGCCTAAGCCTAAGCCTAAGCCTAAGCCTAAGCCAAGCCTAACAATAAGCCAAGGCTGAGCCTTAGCCAAGCCTAAGCCAAGCCCAAGCCTAAGCCTCAGCCTGACCCTGACCCAAGTGCTCCTTCAACCACCCATTAACGCTCCAACGACTACACTACGCCCCAAGTTCCACCCACCCACCTGCGCATCGCAAAGCCCATGAGAAAATCGATAAAGCTTTGGTGGGGCGAAAAAACCGACAAAATTAGAATACCTCAATTTGGCTAGATTATTGGACGTGTAATACTAGATTGACTTGATCACAGCACGTATTTTGGTTACGGTATCCGGAAAGAGGGGGGCGGGGGTACACTGTGTTTTCTTGCTTGGCTTCTTCTCATTTCACCAGACTCGTCTCGCCGTTCGCGTTTTTGAAGGATACCTAAATTTGCATATTTTTGCGTGAATTTCACGATTTCTAGGGTTAGTCATTCACAGAAAAAGCTCAATTAAGCCTTGAATTTTTGTTAAAATCGTATTGTCTTTGCTAGAGCTTATAAATCGGAAAACTTCCATCAAAGTTATGGAAATTTCAAACAAATAACATGGAATTTAACGGCAATCGACAAATGTTAATTTTGTATTTTTTTTTTTAGTGGCGTGCCCAGCAAACACGTTAATGCAATTTTGACATTGAATAAGCAAGCTGTTTGAGTGGAGCGAGACGGAATTTTTTGCGTCGGTAAAGCATTATATTTTGTATATTATTTCAGTCTTTTATTACTTATAGCGATCGTAAACAACAATAAAAATATGAGTTTTTTAAAGATCTATGGCACTTTTGAGCCGGTTTAAGTTTAAATCAGCTATCCAAATTCCGTTAAGTATCTTAAAATTCAAGAAATGATGTTTAAAAATCTCTTAAATAATTAAAAATAAAGTTGAGAGTTGCAAAATCCAAATTTAGTGAAGCACACACCTGTCGTGCGAGACGGCGAGACGACCAGTCCAGCGTGAGTCGAGATGAAGCGTCATTAGGAAAGGGACGGAAATATTTCAGGGGGATTGGACACGTATCAGTATATATTACGGTACGGTGCGGGTAGTACGTAATACGTAAGAATACGTAACACTACTTAAAAGTACGTAGGACTACGTAGCTGTACGTAATAGTACGAAACTTTGCGTTTTTCACGTATTCGTACGTAACAGTACGTAAGAGTACGTATATTACGCATTACATACGCCCGTATCATACAGTGGACGACGGAATGGACATTGTATATCAGATATTCAATTCGTGTGAGTGGAATAGCGTGGGTATTCAGGAAGGATATCCCGGAATTCGGAGCCCCGAGGAATTCACATGAGGCCAGGCAGGGCGGGTGCCAGGCTGACCTGCAGTGTTCTGCCTTGTAATGTCGTTCCATTCAAGGCGGCTATCGCGTTGATGGCCTCCTCGTAGCCGACCATCGTCACGAACCCGTACCCCTTGCACTTGCCGGTGGCAAAGTCGCGGATTATCTGAAAGTTTGAGAGGTTTTCTTAGGAATTAAGGGCTTGACTTAGACCAGTTTTCTGTGCTGATTCCGAATATGCAATTGGTTTGAAGAAATGATTCACGTTCGTGGAGTTATATCATTCTTAAAGACTACTAACCCGGGCCGCCCCCCCAAACCGGGGGGGGGGGGAAGGGGGGGGCCTTGGGGGGGGGCCCCCCTGGGGCGCGGGGGGGGCTTTTATGCCGCTCTATTTAAGGACGACTCTTCGTAGCCAAAGATTCGCAGCCTTCCGATCCTTACGCCAGAGCCACTTCTCGTGGTGCTTTCGAATCATATCTTTTTTAAAAGGCAATATAGCTTTCGAGCAACAGTTGCGCTGGCAACAGCCATAAAACTAGCGATAACTTAGAAAATCTGCATTGTCGCTTCAAGCAAAGCCCAGATTCGGATTTAGCTTAAAAAACTGGTCCCGATACGCTATTCCTCAAGGATTCCTGCTAGCCTAGACCACCCTAAAACTTCAATAACCTACCTTGACACTGGCCACGGCACCGAACGGCCCAAACAGCTGCCAAAGGACCGAGTCTTCCACATCCGGGCCAAGGTTGTAGACGAACAGGCAGAAGCCGGATTGACTAGACGTCAGGTCTACGGCTAAATTGGAGCCTAGGATAAAAAATACGCCAATTTTTTGTACCTGGTGCTCCGAGGGGCGCGGTAAGTCCGGGGAAGCCGGCGGCCGTCATTTGGGGAACTGAAAAACAGGAGTAAATCGATATCATTTATAAAACAACAATTTATAAAATCTTTTAGTGATTGACAGTTATGTGACATGCTAATAACAAAAACAGGGGGGGTAGTAGAAGCTGTCGACCCAAGGAAGCGGATTTTTACGAATCGTGGTAAGTTTGTTCATGCGCGATCATCCAACCCAGTTCTTATTTTGCCCGGGATGTCTTCCTTGCTCTCTATCTCTGTCTCTCTCTCTCTCTCTCCCCCTCACTCTCTCGCTCTCCCTCCCTTTAATATCTATAAACGCTTATGCAACATAAATCTAGGACAGGCAACAGTATTAGAGCATACATGGGGCTACAAACTACAGATTCCTCCTCTCGGAATCTCAAAAATCGGAACCCTGAGATTTCCATCATTTTCCACACGACATCAGATTCCGATTTTCCGAGATTCCGATAAGCGATCCATTCCCTACAGCGACCTCGACTGACTTGCGTTCCACAGCAAGGCAGCCAGCTCGCCCCTCGTTAGCCTAGCGCGGGACCGGTGGCGGCTGAAAACGGGCGGCTCGACCCTATTTTCCGGGGTTTTCGGGGGTTTAAAGTTTATAGTTTATCATTTAAATTGAGTCATACTCTACCGTCACTTAAAACACAGAAGGACTTACAAGAGACGGCGGCCAATTGCATGAGGGCGTTAGCGGTGAAGATGTCTTGGACAGGGGCTGCTGCTGGAGCCAAGCCGGCCATTGGGGAATATCTGCAATTTTAGCTTGAAATTGGGCTTATGAGGAAGCTTAAGCCTGAGCCTCAGCATAAGCCTAAGCCTAAGTCTAAGCCTAATCATAAGCCCAAATCCCACCTAAACTTTCCGTTGATAGGCGTGTGGTGGATAGGTCCAGGAGCGGCCACTCTCCTTGGCGCGACCGCCTGGTTCAGCAACGCCATCGGGATGAGATTCGAAGCGACTTGAGCTACCTAAGCAGCAGAGCTGTATCAGGGATTAGGGGACAAACCCGCCGCATCGGCCAACGCATTTTATGCGAGTTCGTCGCGGGTGTTGTTGGC